GAGTTCAGGGCTCTTTTTATGAACTAACGAGTTTATCGTGAGCTCTATGACTTTTTTATGAACTAATGAGTTCATTGTGAGCTCTAAGGCTTTTATTACGGACTAATGAGTTCGTTGTGAGCTCCGGAGCTCTTATTACGAACTAATGAGTTCGTCGCGAGCTCTAGGGCTCTTTTTATGAACTAACGAGTTCATCGTGAGCTCCAAAGCTCTTTTTAAGAACTAACGAGTTCATCGTGAGCTCTAAGGCTCTTATTACGGACTAATGAGTTCGTCGTGAGCTCCAGGGCTCTTTTTGTGAATTAATGAGTTTATCGTGAGCTCTAAGGCTCTTATTACGGACTAATGAGTTTGTCGTGAGCTCTCGGGCTCTTTTTATGAACTAACGAGTTCGTCGTGAGCTCTAGGGCTCTTTTTATGAACTAACGAGTTCATCGTGAACTCTAGGCTCTTTCATGAACTAATGAGTTCATCGTGAGCTCTAAGGCTTTTATTACGGACTAATTAGTTCGTCGTGAGCTCTGGGGCTCTTATTACGAACTAATGAGTTTATCGTGAGCTTCAGGGCTCTTTTTATGAACTAATGAGTTTAGCGTGAGCTCTAAGGCTCTTATTATGGGCTAATGGGTTCGCTGTGAGCTCCAAGACTCTTTTTATGAACTAACGAGTTCATCGTGAGCTGTAAGGCTCTTATTATGGACTAATGAGTTCGTCGTGAGCTCCTGAGCTCTTTTTATGTACTAACAAGTTCATTGTGAGCTCTAAGGCTCTTAATACAGACTAATGAGTTCGTCGTGAGCTCCCGGGCTCTTTTTATGAACTAACAAGTTCATTGTGAGCTCTAAGGCTCTTATTACAGACTAATGAGTTCGTTGTGAGCTCCCGGGCTCTTCGTAAGAGTGAATGAACCATAGACTTGCTGCTTTATTAATAATCATATTACAGGACAAACTTACTGAAAAAAATTTCCTAAGATGTTTGCATTCCAAGAGCGGAGTAAAATTTTCATCCGGTCTACTTTTCATCTGGGGTGTCACCTTAGGAATTTTTGTTTTGTACCTCATACAAGATTTGCGAAATTGGTGCGGTGAGTGGAGGGACCTACCGAGGTGTGTTACCTCAGTTGCAACTCTGGATGAGGTGGTCCCAAGTGATCTCTGACGTCCCCCTTCTTTTGGGGATCGATCTCTGTCTCTCATTGGGGACCTATCTCATCCTTTTTTCTCTTCTGGGGCTTTGGTCCCTCTTTTTCTCTTATTTCCCTTTGTCTTTTTGTATGGATGAGCTCCCCACTTTTGAAAGGAGAGCTTCTTCGCCGTTTATGTACTTTTCTGCCTTGGCCAGTACTTCGGCCATGCTGGCCTGGGAATTTTTCAAAATAGAGAATATCAGGTCTTTAGATTGTACGCCTAAACCAGCTATGAATGCAATAATGACAAATTTCTCGTCTGAAACATCCACTTTTAGTGATTCAGAGTTGAACCTCTGAACATAGGATCTGAGGTTCTCTTGGGGTCCTTGCTTCACATTCAACAGGTGGTAACTCGGCTTTCTGTACATTTGAGCTCCTATGAAGTGAGATACAAGGATATAGATAGCTCCTTAAAGGAGAAAATTGAGGTAGGGGGAGCCTATTGAACCACTCTAGGGCTGAGCCTTTCAGTGTGATGGCAAAGGCTTTGCAGCGCACTAGATCCTGGTATCCATGCAACTCCATCTGGTTCTTGTAAGTGTTGAGGTGATCTACAGGATCCTTTGTTCCATCAAAAGCCTCTATCTGCGGTACTCTGAATTTCAGAGGGAGGGAAAATGCAGCACGCCAGTGGTGAACGGAGATTCAGTCTGTTGTACCAAGGCATCCATCGTAACTGGAGCCTTGCCTCTCATGGCTTTCTTCATGTGGCTGAGTTCTTGCTGGATACCCTGGAAACGTTGCTCCCAGTACCGTTCTCTCCTTTCCTGTTGATAGGGGAAAAAATCGTTCTTCTCACCCCAGTCATTCTGACTTTGTACTTCTTCGTTATGTCCATTCCTAGGGAGTATGCGAGTTCTGGCCCCATAGTTTGGCTATTTTCCTCTTCTTTGTTGACTTCCCTGAGGGGGTCGAGGTGTGGTTGCTCCCTAGGTGGTGGGTTGTTCTGGCCTTCTTGAGCTTGTCGCGCTTCCTGTGGGTGTTGTAAGAGCTTTAAGAGTTTTTTGTTTTGTTTCAACAAGGGTTAATTGACGAGATGAAGAGCTCCATCTCGTTATTCATGGGGAGACCCCCCACGGGTGGATTGGTCTCTTGAACGTTCTCAGGTTGTCTGCTATTAGTAGTTTCTTGTTGATCTTGTATCCGTTGTGGATTTGTCTGACTTCGGCTCATGTTTCGCATTGATACCATTAGTCACTGAAAGATCAGTTGATTTATAACAGGAACAGTCGTTTCCCACAAACGACGCCAAACTGATAGTTTATTTCAGCGTGATATAATTTTGTGATGACGAGTTAATAAAGAAATAATATTGGAATTATTGGGATCTGAGCTACTAAACTCGAGAGTATGATACTGAGAATTGTTGCGGAGTTGGGGAATTAACACAGTAGAAATATAGTGGTTCACCAGTTCGAGAGCTCGGCTAATTCACTCTTCAATGAAGATTTTTGCTCTTTCCTTCACTATTTACTATATCAAAAGGTTTACAGAATATAAGATGTGATACTAAGGTTCTGCCCTCTGTTGGGGGCGTTACATAATATTTATAAGGCTTTTCCTAATTCTGCGGGATCCACCCCGAGATCTTTGCCATTTATCCGAGAAATCCTCCTTACTCTTAGGAAGAGATCTTTTTTGGATGAGAGTTTTATGCTTCGATTATGACTCTTTACTGTCTCTAGGGTTTCTGTTGACAAATAGTTATCTCTTTATTACTTCCGCTGCTGCTTCGATTGGACGGTGCTTTACTCTGATTTTATGAGCTCTGAGCTCTGTGTGTCTGACCTCCACTGCCAAGCTTATACTTAAGAATTGCCCTAAGTATCATCACCTCCTTTACAATTTACTATTCCTGGAAAGTGTCTTTACGGTAAATGTGGAGCATCAAACTGTGAAGTGCCTAGTAATCCTTTTGTCTTTTCATTCTCGTATTATTTTCTTGTCCTGTCTTCATTTTGCCATTTAAGCCCACCATTTACCATCTTGAGTCCATAATCAATGCCCGCCCCCCCCCCCCCCCCCCCCCAAAAAAAAAAAAAATCTCTTTCTGTCTCCTCCGTTACTGATTTTCTATTTAGATGTCGGTGGGAGGCATTGGACGAGTTTGTGTGAGATCAGATATTGATGAGAAGACAACGACTATGTTTACCCAACGAAGCTCTAGTAAAAGAGAAGGAGGAGGCACCAAATCGAGGTTCACCGGAAATTGCAGCACTTTCAGGCTGCCCAAAAGATCAGAATTGTCACCTATGAAATATCTCAAACACGTTGGTCACAAGATGGCGGCAGCTCTGCGATTGGTGTCGAGGCGGAGGAGAGGGTCTCCAAAAGTTTCCTCCTCACAAAAGGCAAAGACATGCGTTGCTCCAGTTGATTCTCACAGGGCTGAAGCCATAGATGATTGCATTGAGTTCATTAACTCATCTTCTTCCTTGCAAAGATCCAATTCAGTTTCTTGTTAGATTTTGTTGCAATAAATATGAGATGAAGTTCTTGTTCGATCGGCAAAGTACGGTGCTAAAAATTGTACTCCCTCCACCTTGTATATGTTCTTGGATTAGAATTCAGAAATAACAGTCCCTTAAATTTCTTATTATGCCAGTGAAAAAAGTCCACAGGTTGTGGTTTCAAGATAACTTAGATATGCACAGCCATGTATAATCACCTGTGGCGGACAATTCAAAGTTCTCATATAACACTTGAATTTGGTATCTCGAGATAGTAATATTGAAGCTTTCCAATTCAAGCTACCTGACGGGGGTTATCTTTTTTATTTTTTTGGTGTAGAAATGGTGTCTGTCATTGCTTAATACATGGAAAAGTTGGGAAAAAGCATTCTTTTTTTTCATCTAGTTTGCATCACCGAGTCATTTTGATGCTTTTATTATACCGGCTTATCTGATGGGCTATTAATACCCTAGTCTATGCAATGGTTGTTAGATCTAATTTCCTTGTATTAAAAAAGTTTTTAGTGCTATGGTTGGTGTGATCTGAGTATCAGGCAAGTCTCTCTCTCTCTCTCTCTCTCTCAAGTTTCTTGGGAAGATTCAGGCTGAAGCAGTAGTGCTTCTCAAGCATGATCAGTAGAATAGGTATCAAAGTAATAATTATCAGTTTACAGCTACACTAGTAATGTTTACTCTTCTTCCGGGCAATTGCTTTCATCACATCAAACCAAATTTTGTGAGACTTTCCAACCTTGTTGGCCTTGGTTGCTGTACATACATCTTACTATTTTCAAATGCACTGGTGACAAGAATTTCGTACAGTCAGTCGGCCATAAGGGTACTGAAGTTGGTGTTCAATTCTTGGACATAGCATATGGTCTTGTTCCCGAATCTGGTGATGTGCATAGTTGTCTTGGCCTTCTCGTACCAGGTAGGCTAGGCTTGGCTGCCAGCCATGAAGAGGATAGGTGTCGGTGATGAGTCCGCGTCGTGTATTCAGGTGACAAAGACCCTTGTCTGTCCTTGGTGTTGGTTTATTGTCACCTACCTAAACGTCCATTACATTTTGGATGTTTATACATAGGATTGCTATGATATTGTCATTTTTCCCTATGATGTGTTTTCTAATTGCACTGTTTCTTTAAAATGTGCTCGAATATATAGAATAAATCAGAGAGTTAGGGCAAAGTACTAGTGTTCTGACAATCTGTGGAAAATTTTATATACAATAAAACCAGCATGTGTGTGAACTACATAAACTTTTATCCTCATCTTTGATATTTCTCGAGGACAGAGATGTTAATCGAACCCCGAGTCTTCTTTGTTTTGGTATGCTCAAGTTCAATATCGTTTTTTCAAACTTGTTTTTGTAGCTCAAACTCAGCTCGATCAGCTTCTAGATATACTCAAATTCGACCCAACTCTATTCATTTTTTTCAGTCTGAGCTAGAATTCAATGATTGATTCGTTTAACGGTTATACTTTAGCCACATCTTCCTGATATAACTGGTTGCTAATCATTGTAGCAAGGAATGTTGGGCACACCAAGCTTATTCATAAATGAGCAAACATTGATTAGGCACAACCACCTATCACCAGTGGGAATAACATAGGGGCCGTTTGGGATTTCCACTACAGAATGCATTCTCTTAATTTATTGGTTTTCACACTGTCTTCTTTAGTTTATGACATTATCTACAATTATTAAGCTGTAACTTGTTATAGAATATACTATAGATTCCCTCACAACTCACAAGGACACCAGTTAGTTGGTCCTAGCTCTCAGGCAGCTTCTATGGTTTCTCACTCAACATACCAAAACAATGGCAATTATGAAACCATTTTCCAATTAAACAAAATATCTTCCTCGTTATATTTTACTCAATTTCACTCTGTCGTGAATCATGTATAATAAATTCAAGTGAGACTCTATTAAGAAGATTTTTTTTTTTTAAATTCAAATAATTTTTAAAACTTTTCTTTTTCAAATTTTTTCCTATATAAATTTTTATTTTATAATTATTATATTTATCAATCAACCAAACATTTCTATAATAAAAAAATAATACAAGCTTGAAATTTAAAAAAAAAAAAATTATAAAACAATAAAACCTAATTCATTGTTGCTACCCACAAAATTGAGAAATCATATATGGGTTCTACCCTAACATTACCTATTTAAAAAATAGAGAAAATTAGTGGATTAATGTCTTGTGTCTTTAGTGAATGAAAAGAGAATTGCGGTCATTGATGAGCCCAGATCTAGTTGGGTCCAAATCCAATTAATGAGGTAGGTCCAAATTAACTAAAAGGCAGGTCAAGTCCAGTTCATAGCCTTAGCCCAGTTCAAGATTCAAGGGATCTAAGAAATTAGCGCACGTGGAGAGCAATTATCGGGATAGTCACTATCAAAGATCAAAACTATTTCTAATTGTACCTATTCGTAATTTTAGTTATCTTCCCCGAAAAACTAGTAATCTACCTTTCATGACCACCGCCTCAGCTAAGGTTTGGTATAAGGGACATACCTATTGATCTCTACATCTCTCACACATAGCTATCTCTCTCATAGCTACCTCATCTACCTAAAGCTTGCCCTTGCTCTCTCTCTCTCTCTCTCTCTCTCTCTCTCTCCACTTACTACTTTATAAATAAAATTTTTTGGCCATTGTTTCTGTCTTCAATGGTTAGGTCACCTCGGTCCAACCACCCATTCTTTGTCTTTTGCTATTAATTTCTTCATTAATTGCCCTGCATCGTATACTTGATTGTTGATTGTACATCGCCTATTTTGTGCATCATCAGTTTGACGTCGTCTGTGAGAAATGACTAACTTTTCTACTACCTTTCTAGTTTCTTTCAAATCCATGGCCATCACAACCAGATCGATGAATCAACAACCCGAAAACAATGACCTGGCTAGTCGAAAAGGGGCTTCGCCTCCGCCTCCACCAGCAAAACCATTTACTGCGTCGAATCCTGTGGTCATTGCGACAAATCATGTGGTCGGGCAATAGCTTTTAGAGACCATGTAGTTCTTGGTGAGCCAAAACCAGCAAATTCTCTAACTAATGTTTGCCTCAAGAGGCGTTATCCCCTAATAAGTAGTAGGAGCTGCACTCACTCTAATAGGAGAGGACCCACACCCTTTCCCCATAGGGCAACAAGGTGCCCCCATGCAACGCCCAAGCACCCTTCACTAGGGAGTCCCCACTCAGCGCCTAGGCGTCTCGCATGCTCCTCCTCCTCAGGTACTTGTTCTACCTCCATACACTATCGACTATCTAGAGCAAGAGGATGAGGGGGAAAACCAGTATGCGCATCATAAGAGATACTAACATAAACCAACAGAGGGTGTCCCTAACCAGTGGGATAGAAAGATTAAGGGGGTGCAAAACCAGATTGACAATACCCTCAACGCCATCAAGGCACAAGCACCAGAAATGGTGGACTACCTAGTAAGGCGCACTCACATTCATTTTGTGGCAGATGTTGTCAACTAATCTCTGCACTCAAAATTCAAAATGCCTACTGTTACCCCCTTAGCTCATTGGCAACATTGACATGTGGCTGCCTCCCCCAAAGGCCGGCTGCCTTAGCCAAATTGGGTTATACTTAGACGAAGTATACCCTTGTGCAAAGTTAGCAGAAGCCATGCATGGCTGAAGGAGGTAGCCCATGCATAGGCATGGTGGGCTTGATTGGACACAATCAGTAGGCTAATTGAAAACCCATGCATGGTTGAGTGAGGCAGCACATGCATGAGCACATGATCATAAGAAAGCATGAAAGCAAGGTAGCCAAGTGGTTTGAATTATGGGAAAATGCTAGTCTGTAGGACTAAGCCATGGGTTGGGCATGGCTAGACACGAATGCAAGACAATCAGATGTTAAGGACTCATGAGAAAGGCACATGCACAACATGTGAGGATGTTATGGCATGTGCCCCGCAGATGGCGATAGTTTTGTGCAGTTGCTGGTAGGTACACAACATGTAGGAGTCTCTGTCATGTGTACACAACATGCAGGCAGTTGTTGGCTGTGTCAGCCACCAGTTGCAACTTCCTCTGCCATGACCAACATAATAAAGGGAGTGGTTGAAGGTGTTAGTCAGTATCAGCAAACTTGTGGGGCGGATTTGAATTGTTATGTAGTTGTCTAGGCGGTTGGGCTTGTAACTACCACCTTAAATATTATAAATAGGCATGTCTGGGTCTGCAGTGCAACCAAGAGAGTTGGACACATTTTTGTAAGTAGACCCAAAACTGGGTTTCCTTATACTTTGTTAAGAAAGAAAGGTTTGGCCAATTGGCCTGTAAAGCTTGTGTGTTATGTGTATGTTTACTTACTGTCCCTACTCTATTCATGTGTGCATTCTGTGAGCATTTTAAGTACTTAGATTAGACTGAGTGTAGGATCTCAGTTCCATCACAAGGCAAAAATTTGGTGAGAAATTAACCTTGTGACAATTGGTATCAGAGCTTCAATTTACGACCATGGCTAGTGGAAACGCTACTGAATTGTGAGAATGTGTGACCCATCCCAAAGATTTTTTGGGCGCCCTTGAAAGTGATGTTGCAATCATGGTGGTTGTGCAGATGGAGCAAAACGCTATTCAGATTGCTGGTTTATAGATGGCTTTTGATAACTATGTAGCCAACACCGATGCAAAGCTTACAATGATAATGGAGGACATTTTGTCCCTCACAGATGCTGTCAAAACCAATCTAAAGGTCTTAAAGACCAAATGTCCCTGGTGAAGAAGGCCATGAATTCTCGACCTACTGTGGGCGAGACATCTTCAAAAATCAAAGTCCCAGAACCAAAGGCCTTTAAAGGCACTCAAAGCGCCAAGGATCTAGAGAATTTCTTATGGGACATGGAGCAGTACTTCAAAGCTGCCCATGTGCCTGATGTAGAAAAGGTGACAATTATCAGTATGTATCTTTCTGGTGACGCTAAGTTATGGTGGAAAACCTGGAACGAGGACAATGTATCTGTTGGGCGTGCAAAGATCGAAACATGGGAGACCCTAAAAAAGGAGTTGAAGGATCAATTCCTCCCTAGCAGTACGACATGGATTGCTAGTGATTCACTCAAGAAATTAAAACACACCGGAACTGTTCATGATTACGTGAAGGAGTTTGGTTCGTTGATGCTGGACATCAAGAACATGTTAGAAGAAGACAAACTCTTTAACTACAAGGCTGGGTACAGGTCGAGTTGTGTAGGCAAGGGGTACGTGATTTGTCCACTGCCATCGCTGCTGTAGACGGCCTTGTTGACTTCAAAATGGGTGGTGGTCAAGGCCCTTCTGAGAAGAAAAAGAAGGATAGTGGTTGCAAAAAAGATAAAGCTGGCACTTCCAAAGAAGCAAAGAAGGTAGACTAGAAGAAAAAGAAGAACGTTTCTGACTCTAAAAAGCCAGACAATAACCAGAAGAAGAAAGTCTTTAATTTTGGTTGTTTTCTCTAAGGTGGCCCCTATCGTGTCAAAGACTATCCCAAGCAGGAAAACTTGAGTGCCCTCATTGCTACAAGAGGGGATAATAGTGATGATGACTGTCCCATCGGAGTTAATCCTCTATAGTTGCTAAACACCGTGGGCAAAGTTTAGCAACCCTACAAAGGCCTCATGTTTGTTTAGGCCTGGGTGAATGGCAAGGAAGTTCTAGCCATAGTGGATATGGGAGCCACCCATAATTTCGTTGTCTAGGGAGATGTGGGAAAATTTGGTCTGCAATTGTCAAAAAATGCTATCAAACTGAAGGCGGTAAATTCTGAAGCAATGTCAGTGCATGGCATAACAGAAATATGCCTAAAGGTGGGTTTATGAGAAGACCATGTGAGTTTGATGGTTGTGCTTTTTGATGAATTTATTGTCATCCTAGGGAATGAATTCTTTATTAAGGCAAAAGAGGCACTGATGCTACACTTGAATGGAGTTCTGATTATGGATAAGAAAGCACCCTGCTTTGT